ATCCCCTTGCCTCACCCCCCACTCTTCAGCGAAGAGGAGACAGATGCAGCGTCGTCCCGCTCTCAGCATCCCTTGTTGCTATTACAAAGCCCGGCATCTGAGCCTGCTCCTGCTTTTCTCTGTGCTGGAGTTTTGCCGAGAGGGATAGTAGCACGAACAAAGCAGGAGGGAGCGTGCGGGGAGAGACGTGCCTCAGATGTACCAGTCGCTCAGATCCGTGGCCAATAAGCCAGTGCTTTTCTCTTTGGCAGCTTTCTTTTCTTGCTGCCTCGCAGAAGGGGGCAGGATACAAAGCCACCTCTGCTCTTGTACTGGCCCTGTCGGCCCTCTCCTCTCTCAGGAGGGAGCCACTTCCGAAGGGAAGAGCCCGCTGTGAAGGGCTTAACTTGACATTGCAGAGGATACAAAAGGAATCCAACCTGGAAGATAACATGTTTTTCAATTTTAGGAAAGGAACCCAAAGCCCAGTGCAGCACAGACACACTCCAGACAAAAGCTGCACTTTCAGGCAACATCCTGGCTCCATGAGGGGTGTCCTTAGGGGCTGATGCTGCCCCCGCTGTGGTGAGGAGCAGGGACTGGGACCAGGCTTTCCTGCAACTTGCCCCATTTCCTTCTCTTGCTTCTCTTATGGGTTTGCGATATGGGGCTGAGAGTGATGGGCAGGACGGTGCTGTGTCGAGATGGTCCTGAGGACAAGAACGGGCCATGTGGGGGCAACAAACAGAGAAGAGCCTGCCCTGTGTGCTGAGGGTAGGGCCCTGCTTCCCTTCCCACACCCCCGGCAGGGTTATTTAAACTTATTATTATTATTATTATTGTTATTATTATTATTTTATTTAACTCAAGTAAATCTTTGCGTTTTCCCCAGCTGCTGTGACTTGTTGCCTTTTTGCGCCTTTTCGTTCTGCTCCGGGGGCTGGAGCAGACACTGGGCGCCTATAATAAGTTATTCAGCAGCAGTCTCTGTGCTGTTTCCTCAGATTTCAATTTCCACATGTTTCCCTTCAGGCTGTTTCCAACTAATTTCCTCATTTGCATAACGCCCCCCTTAGGGATGCTCGCGCACAGCCTCCCCCCCCCAGTTTTACAAGGCCATTGGAGATTCAGACCATTAGCAGAAAATGCTCTTTAATTCTGTTGGCCCTTTAACCGAGTCCTTCTCATATTTCCAGTTAAAAAAGACAAAGGGGCAAGTCTGGATGCATGCACAGAGCTGGGGTGGCCTTGCCCTGGCGAGTCAGCATGAGCTGAGGGCTCGCAGGCACCCGCTGCTCGGGACAGCGCCTCTGCTGTGCCCGTACCCCTGCAGAAGCGATCTGGGAGAATTACTCATGCGCAGGTGAAGGAAGCTTCTCATTTCCAATGTGAGTCATGCAGACTGGACAGTTTTGCCTGGACTTTATTTTTCCTGGGAGTTGCCACTTGCTGCGAGGCGGCAGGGCCACCGTACCCCATGGGAAAGCGCCTTGTGCTTCGCTCCGCGCCGCCCGCAGGGCTCCGCACCCGTCGGCAGGCAGGGAGCGAGCAGAAAGGTGGCGGCGGCCGCCCTTAGCCAGGACCCTGCAGAGTGCGGGACATGAGCGGCTCAGGTTGCACCTGCTGGTACTGGTGCCCCAGTGCTACTCAGACTCACTCTCCTGGGAGCCAGGGGAAACAGTGCTGCAGACTCCTTTCCTCTGCAAACAGACCTCCGTTAAGACTCAGGATGTACCTGCGAGGGCGAGAGGCGGTACCTGGAGCGGAGCGCAGCATGGGGCATGTGCCTTCCCGCCAGCCCCAGCCCCTGCCGACGTGGTCTTTGCATGCTCTGTAGCTGCGTCCAGCTCTGCAGGAGGCTACATTCACCAACTGCACAGTTCTCTGGGGCTTTATCCGTGTGCCGACCTATCCCTGCTGCGGGCACTACCCCGGTTTCACCCTCCTGGCCTCGGCACGTCCCATCCCAGCACACCCGGTCCCACCTGCACTGGGCGCCCAGCGCACGGCTCCTGGCTGCCCAGGACACTGCCCACACTACACAGGGTGCCTGGGCATTGCTGTAGGTGAGGTGATCCCAAGGATGGGATTACAGCTGAAATCATGCTAATCCCTGTGCTTTTAGTCTGTGCAATTTAGGAAATTCAGTCTTTGGATAAAACTATTTTGAAACCCAGCATGCTCCCTGCCAGATGAGCCTGCTGCAATTCCTGGGGCAGCTCTTTTTGCATTTACTGTTATTCCTGTCCTGCCCATTTATTTTCAGGTACAAACAAACCAGGAAGGCTGACTGTATGGAAGAGAATGAAAACCATTCCTCAACTGTTAGACAAGGTTGCCCCTTGTCTCTCCTCTCCAAGCAGGTCGAAGGAGGGGATCCTTCCCTTCTACTCAGCTCTGGTGCGACTGCACCTGGAGTATTGGGTGCAGTTCTGGGCTCTCCAGTACAAGAAGGACATGGAGCTTCTAGAGAGGGTCCAGCATAGGGCCATGAAGATGATTAAGGGACTGGAGCATCTATCTTATGAGGAAAGACTAAGCGAGCTGGGCCTGTTTAGTCTGGAGAAGAAAAGGCCGAGGGGAGATTTGATCAACATGTTCAAGTACTTGAGGGGGGCCAGGTTCTTCTCCGAGGTGGCTGGTGACAGGACGAGGGGTAATGGGTGTAAGTTGAAACATAAGAAGTTTAATCTCCATGTGAGGAAGAACTACTTTACTGTGAGGGTGACAGAGCACTGGAACAGGCTGCCCAGAGAGGTTGTGGAGTCTCCTTCTCTGGAGATCTTCAAAACCCGCCTGGATGCCACCCTCTGCCACGTGCTGTAGGTGTCCTGCTGGTGCAGGGAGGTTGGACTAGATGATCTCTAGAGGTCCCTTCCAAACTTAATCATTCTGTGATTCTGTGATCTCATGTCTTCTGGACCCTCCTGGTCCTTACCTGTGAACTCAGTCTCTATTTGTTCCACCCTGGTATTCATTCCTGGTGTTTGTATTTTTCCAACCCTTTTGAGCACATTTTATTTTGTGCTTCTACACAGCAGCAAGAACATAAATGATACTCCAGTCTCTCTGTCTGTGTAATTCTTGTCCATCCACACTCAGCAAGAGGCCTACATTATCATACTCTTCCCAGCGTTAGCCTCTTGCTGTGATCTACATTGCTGTACATCTCCCTCCGAGCTGCCCAGACACCAGCTGGATTATAACTTCCTTAGGGAATTGCATAAACATCTTCAGGTTTAAGTGTTTTCAGCACTCCTGGAGCAGTGTGCAAAGCTCACCTCCTTGCTATCCAGCTCCATGTTATTATAAACAAATTCTTTTTTTTTTCTGCTCTTTTATTAGCTCTTCCATGTTATAAAACATAATGGGAACCTTCAGAATAGCTTCTGAACAGGTCTCTGATGTGCTTCTCTCTTTTATGGCTCAAGTACAACAGAAATTGTAGACATTAACATGCTTCTGTAGGATGAAATGTACGTCTGAATGATACAGAGCTCAAGGAACATGCTGCACCTCTTACGGAGGTGGCTACAGTGTGTGCAGAAACCCCAGAGAGAGGGAGAGTGGAATCCAGAGTCTGCCTACAGCCTGCTATCCATGGGGAAAAGGAAGAGGCAAGAGGAGAAATGGCCATAATGAGGCATTATAAGGTGAGATATTGGGAGAAAAAGGGCATAGGGAGAGGGAGGATGAGGCTGGGCAGAACGTTTTAAAGAAAACTCTTTGGGGCAGTCATTGCCCTCAAATCCACCTCTAAAGCACTTGATGTGTTGCTGACAATACACAAAGAAGCAAAAATAAGATGCAAGCATGGGTACGTGGTGTTTTCTTGTCAACAGAGGCAACCATGGACCCCTCTCCATGGTGCGGGAAGAGGTGTGCCCTGAGGGGTCACCCCCATGTCTTATTGTGCTGTCTCCAAGCCTTCCCCCTCTCTGTATTCTGTCCCCTCGCAAACAGCACTTACACCTCCATGTTACATCAGCCTCTCCTTCCCATCCTCTGTGTGCAAGCCACTGACCGAGCACTTAGAGCGGTGTCCTTCAGGCTCTGGGGAAGGAGAAGACGCGGCAGCAGAACGATCCTTTTCTCCCCAAGGATTGGCTGGTAGTGGTGGTCACTAGGCTCATGTTTCTCAAACCTGTTGGGGCTATTTCCCTCCCATTCTCCCTCCCCTGCCCTCCTTGGTTGCTTCATGGGTAGAAATTCCTACTGCAAGTCTTTTGAACGGCCAAGCACCATGAGAGGTCAACCTTAGTGGGGTTCTGAGTTGCAATTATCATGATTGTCATTATTATCGCTTGAGGAAACCTTGTTGTCTTTCCCTTCAACAAACTTTTAACAAGTTAAGCGACTGTGCACAACCACCAGACTGCGGTTCTTCTTGTTCCTCATCTGGAAGGGACAGATGATTGCTCTAATGGCAGGGCCAGCCCCTAGCTAGCTTGGATCTGTAGTGTCTCTGCAGAGTCGATGCTGATAGCACTGCAGAGCATGCCCTTGAATCGTGTCCACGCTGTGTCCTCCTGCTTCATTGCAGCTGAAGGGCCAGGTCCCTCCCCATGGTACTCAAATGAGAATGTTGTCCTTAGAGGTCTTGAAATCATGCCATGATCCTGGCCTCTCAGAAAAAAGAGTGGCAATTTTCTGGTGCTATATCCCCTCCCCTCCCTGCATGCCTACTTCAAGGGTAAAACCTGGGAAATAATTGGTGGATCTCTCCGCTGCAGGCCCGGGAAAGGAAACCAGTGCCTTGGTGCTGGTAGTGGTGGCAAGCAGCAGTGTGGCACATCACTCTTACACCTCTTCCATGAGGGAAACATGCTCCTGGTCCCAGCACCCAGGCTGGTGCTCACTTTCCTGCTGGTGGTTGGCATCCACAGCATCAGAGAGAACAGGGGATGGTCTACTCTTTGTCTGAAAGGGGAAAGAGCCTGTGCAGGGCATCCAAGCCTGGACCTTTCTGTGCAAGTAGCCCTTGCAAGTATCGGCGTCCTGTGCTCCACAGGAAGGCTCGATCCCAGGAGGGCTGGCTGCTGGGGATGGCATTGAGGTGTAGGTGGCAGCTATACGTGGCCCCCTTTGGAGAGATAAGCAATCAGTGCTACGACAACCCCAACGTACACTCCTGTGCCGATGGTTATGGAGAGCGCAGCCAGGAAGAGAGCTCGCCGAGAGGCTGAACTGGCCAGGTGGAAATCTCCTTTGGAGACAGCCTTACTGGTCTGCAAAGAGAAGGCAACATGTAAGAGTCTTGTCACATAGTCTAGGTCAGGCGGGATTTGGGCACACAAGCTCTGCAAGGAGGTAGGTGGCTGGTTTAGAGGGGAGAGCGCTGACAGATGGATTTTATGCCCACAGAGCACCTCTGTGCACTTTGAATTTCATGGCTGAAGGAGAGGGGGATATTTGGATGGCTTCTTTCAATGAGGGGACCACGCTCCAGCATCTTACAGGCTTGAAGTGTAATGGAGAGGAAGGGTTGCTGTGATTTTTAGCGAGTGAATACAGGTATTTGCAGAGGAAGCTGTCTCTGCTCTGCTTCAAGGTAGATTTTTGGAAATGTTCATTGCTCATGACTGCTTCAGTTAGGCCTTTTAGTCTGTGGGCAGTACAGTTGCAGAAGGGCATGCACAGAGGTGTGTGTATGCAGAGACTGGGGCTGAACTTGTCTCGGTCAATTGCAGTAGCTGGAAGTGAGGTGCCCAGGCATCCAAATGGGCTCTTGTGAAAAACACACAGACACTTCCAGAGGGCTATTACCCCTGCCCAAAGAGGAGTCTCAACTAAGAGGCTCAAAACACCCTCTGCAGCTGTCCCTCTCTGACCTGTACTGACCTGAAAAAGCCCCCAAATTAACTGCTTCATTTTTTTGATACAAACTGAATCCAGACTTTCATGCTTTGAGTACACTAACTGGGATTTCTGCTGATGCTCTGAGTTTTTTCTGGGATATCTCTGTTTAGAAGTACGGCAGGAAGAACACTGAATATATCTTGGAGCCATGACTTTTATGTTTTTTTCAGGACACAATGGAATTCATTCTAGCCACCTCATCCCATGAAGGCCATGAGAAGCCGGAAGGCATGGTGGGATGGACAGCAAAGGGACTGTAGCTCTGGGAAGGTTCAGCAAGGGGTGCAACATACTCATGTTTCCCTGAATCTCCTCTTTTTCTGCCTGCAGGTTTTTGTCTTAAAGGGGAGCAGGAGCTTTGGCCATTTGTCTTCAAATTCCAGATGTCTGGGAGCTCAGCCAGAGCTGTGAGGTGGCTGCTGGACTTTTGCAGGTCAAACAGATGTTTGGTTCTCCTGAGTGTTGTCTCTGTGGTATGAACTACGTACAAGTGGCATCATGAATGGGACTGGGTGCTGTCCCTTTGAAATGACATAACACAAGGCCATTTAATAAATTATGTGTGTGCATTTACACACATGAAGCCCAAATCTGCAGAAATTACTATCCCAGGCTATGGGGGTTAATTTATATGAATATCTGAAGTGGATTTGCAGAAACTTTAAGTAGGATCATGGATTTGCAGGGATCAGCCTGGATTTGAGTACTGCAGCACTAGAAAGTTATTCTTTCTGCTTAAGACTTTGGTGCTGCCTCATCTCAGAGAGGGGACCCCGAACAGTTTGGCCTGTTGGTCTGGCTATACTGATACTTGATTTTGTCTGCATGTGGTTTTCAGCTGGAACCTATTTGACATAGAATAGATTAATGCAGTTGGTGGTGGAGATGAAAATGAATGTTAGATCTTTGCATTGGGAACTTTCAGCTTCCTTGAGTACTTAGAGCATGTTCAAGGCTGCTCTTCGAGTTTTTTTCCTATTTGTGTTAGAGCTGCTATGTGGAGATCAAGAACATCTATTGTGCACAAGCAAGGAATGGGGAAATGGTCCTTGCCCCAGAGAGAAAAGATGCAGGAATTTTAGCAAATGGAACTTGTTGCTAAATTTAAATTGGATGATGTACATCATGTACATCATGAAGAAGTCACAATGTTTGCCTGCACCATGTGCAAAGTTGTGTGATTAGTCACCTCTGACATGGTTAAAGCTTTGCCTTTCTTTCACTGACTCTGTTGCTAGATACTCCTTATAAATACACTTTTCCATTTCTGTTTCCATTCTCTTGATTTCACTTTGTAAAATCCTTCACTCATCTATTTTTGGTACAACAATATCTGCACAAACCTCAACTAAATTTCCTGGCATGAACTGTTTTGGATTAACATTAATGAAACTGCATCCAGAGTCTGTGTTAAGCCCTTACAAAGGCTGTAGCTCCTCCAAGCTAGTGCAGCCCAAGGTCCACAGCTCTCTCCAGCCTCTGACACTTCCCCACTGCTGATGTCAGTGATACTTCCCCACTGCTGATGAACGTTACTGCCAATTTACACACAGGGGAAGGCAATGGGAATTGGCCACCTGGTGTGGGTCTTGAACCCAGGATGTCCTGTGAATCCCAGAGCAGTTTCAGTCACATGAAAGACCATCCCTTCCAGCTTTAAACACTTTTGCTTTGGCTTGCAGAGTTTAGCAAAGCAGCATCAGAAGCAAATATAGCGACGCACCTGTAGTGAGATGCAGAGACCAGATGCCCAGTTGCATCCAGTCTTGGCAGCCTGACCCCCATGTCTGAGCTGGCTCAGCATGGCCTGGACCGTGGCGCAGGACCTCCACATGGTGCTTACCGGGGATCAGGAGGGAAACGGAGAATTGTTTTGCCTTCATGAGCATGGCTGGAGGGTGGAGACATGGGCAAGGGGCAAAGGAAAGCACCAGATCCCTAAATAACACTGGAAGGACCCAAAGGAAAAGCCTGGCCACTGGTAACCCACATATATATTTGCTGAAGGTGCTTTTTCCCCTTGCTCCAGCAGCTCAGCAAAGATGAGTACACCCAGCTGAGCACAGAAGCGGCCAGCAAGGTCTCTTACCCCTTGGGAGAAGTAAAAGGCAGCGATGCCCAGAGGCCAGAAGCAGCACAGCATGGAGAACAGGGCCAGGCCCAGGTGGTCCCGGGGGGGAAGCATCAGGAAATGGTCCTCGCTTTCGCTGTCGCTGGAGGAGTCACTCTGCAAAACAGAGGGATTCAGGGGCAGTGCAGGGCTCGGGGCTGCCTCCCGGCGAACACCAGGCAGCTTGTGCAAACACCCTTCATTGCTCTGGGTTCTCCCTGCCACCCTGTCACCCCACAGCTTGTGGCCCCATTGTACCCTCCTCTGCCTCCCTGCCCGGCTCCAGCCTTCCCTGGACAGAGAAGACAGGCTGCTTCTATGCATGTGGAGGCAATGCAGGCTGCTGTCTAGCCTCAGCAAGAGGGCCTTAACAGACAGACCAGCATGTGGTAGGATGCAGGAGGAGTCTGCTCCAAGCCCGTAATGCAGATGGATTCCCATCCTGCCAGGGTTTGGACTGGGGGCTGAGCTCGCCCCTCTCCTCACACCTGCAGGCTCCTCACCCGCTTCCCCACACCCTCCTCATAGACGCTGCTCTCTCCTCGCCCTGCCACAATTACTTATACTTACTACCTGCATATTCAGGGAATGAGTTTCAGTAATACTTTATCATCTCAGCCTAGTTTGATAAGAAAACATGTAGCTCAACAAATTAAACAAATGGAATGGAGTCTCAGCTCCCTGCCAGCATGAGTGCTGAGCTCGCTTGGTGGGGGTTTGGGATTTCCCTGGGAGATATTCTCAAACTGAAGTATCTTGAGCTTTAGTGGAACTGGTTGTTTGTCAGCTTAAACAAACTTAAACAAAAAGTGCCTTATCCCCATTAGGGATCAATGTCTTGCTAAACTAATTTAGAAAGTGAAGGAAAGCACTTGAATTGGAGCCTCCATTGCAGTGGTTCTTTGCCCTGTTGTCTTAGTGATTGCATCTCTCAGAACAGCTGCAGTAATTTTGCCTGTGCGTGGGCACTCTTGTCCAGCAGACCAGCCTGGACACAATATGTTGCCGTGGGAAAGGCTTTTCCCCCACAGGAATGGGGGAAAAGCATGTCGCAGTCTGAAAAGGCCATATTGCCAGCATCTAAACCAGCAGAGCTGTACCAGGTCATCAGATGCCACCTCCAGCAGGATTCAGGGACCACTTGGACCTCAGGGATCTGGGGGATGTTGTGGGGAGGCAAACAGCATGAAGCTGCTTCGCCAGCTCTTACTCTTCCATTGCAAGTTTCCTCCTGTCTTTATATATTAACTTTTCTCATGATTGCTGCCATCAGGCTTGTGAATTTTACTGTTCAACCTGGTTGCTATTTCCCATTGATACTAGTAACACAAAAGCCACAAGATGCCCTTGTCAAACACTCTGCATTAACCTCAGGGTCCTGCACACACTGACATATCTCCTGTTCTTCCCCAGGGGGATGCACCAAGCTGCCATCAGGGAAGCCGACCTCCTTCTGAGGTCTGTGGTGAGAAGAGAGTAGAAATTATATGGAGAAAGAAGAAATATAAGCAATATTGGTTGCACAGAGAATGACTAATAAGGCAGAAAAGGGTCTGGGAAAGAAGCTATGGGAAATGAGAGGAGAGAAGGGAAGGCAGAAGAACACAGAATAAATGACCAAGAATTTGGTCCAATGGCCACAGTTATCAAAGAAGGATTTGGTGCTATTCCACCTTTGCAGGGCTCACCTCGTATTCCTGGAGTTCCTCCTCCTCCACCTCGTAAGACACAGTCTGGATGCGGATGTCGCTCTCTACCAGGCATGACCCTTGTGCATCGCACCCGTCAGGACCTTCAGATGTGGCCTCTTTGCTTTCCATAAAAGTGGTCTCACAGCTTTCTGTCTTGCTGTCCTTGGCCTTCAGAGTGCTCTCATCCTTCACAAGGATGAAATTTGGCCCATATAAAGCTTCAACAGCCAGCTGCAGAGAACTAGCATCCAGCAGCTGGTGAGTCCTGGCACTGCCAGTGTTTTGGAAGATGTAGGAGTACAGTTTCCCCTGGCATCGATGACTGGGGTAGTCCTGGCTGTGATGCTGGTGGTAAGAATAGCTGCCGTGAAGGTGCCCATTGGCCTTGGCCAAGAGGGGGTTCTGGAGCTCACGCACACTCTCCATCCTGACGGCAGGTGGGGAGGGCAGTCCTGAGCAGGCAGAGAGAGGAGGAACAAGGAGGCTGTTATTTCAGTGAGCCAAGGAAAAAGAAAATCCTATTGCCCATGCGGAGATGATGTCAAAATGAAGCTAATGGGAACAGTAGGATTTGGCAATGCTAAAGAAAATTAGATCCTTCCCCCGCTTCCACAGCTTGAATGCTATCTCAGCAAACTGAGCATCTCTTCAGCTCTCCCCAGCTGGTAGTAAGATAAGGACGCAGCCATGCAACAAGATGATCTGATTCAGACCGGATTAAGATGTGGATTTGCTTTATCTATAATGCATCTTGAGAAGCCACGTGCAGTCTGATAGGAAAAGACATGCTACATCTTTAATGCTGGTTCACAATTTGTGCTGCTACAAAGGGTAACATACAGCACAGAAGCAGATAAGATGCAGCATCTACTTGAGGGGCCTTCCTGACTTCCCAAAGTGGAGGCTCACACAATGAATTACAGCCCTCCAGGCACTACACATTCAGCTAATGGCTTTTCGAATGATGTTTTCTAGGCTCTTTCAAGGCTGAGCTGGGGCTCAGAGGGTAACTAGAAATCGAGGAAAGGCAGGAGGCGGTGGTGAGGACATTTTGAGGAGTGCTTTGGCTTGAGTACCAGCTTGGGGAGTATTTGTTACTCATATGACTGCATGGAGGAACAGAGGGATGCATAGGCTAAATGGGAGACCCCATGGGGATTTGGCTGACATTGAAATTATGGCAATTCAAGTAAACAAAGACCACATCAGACCTTTATTTAAAACAGTTCAACCCCTGGGTACAATTGACAGCCACATAGCCCCAGCACTGGGCCATCAGCCTCAGACAATGGTGAGTCCAAAGGGGAGCCCCACAGCCAAAGGTGGTTTTGTCAACACTGATCTCTTCTTCAGTCAAATGCACCTCACTATTTCTTTCCTCTATTTCAGATTGCTGAAACAATGTGTTTGCAATAACAGTGCCAGTTTTCATGAGGAAATTTCTGAGATGAAATATTTCAAACCCTCTCCTTCTGAGGAGCATTTGCTGTTTTGGCTCTCCAACCCACCTTGGCACAGAGCTGATGTACAGTGAAATATCAGATTTCCTCAGGAGAGCGAAACGATTACTCTGCACTCTTCAAAACCAAGTGCTGTGTTTTACAGAAGCTCCACAGCAAACTCCCAGCTCCTGGAGTTTGCCACCTTATTGCCTTGCAACCCCAAATGTTACTCTTCTCCTTGGAGACCTCAGTAATTGCTTCCTCTGCAGCACATTGTGCAGCAGAGATGCACTTCCACCTGGCACAGGGGTCCCTCTGGCACACTACTGTTTGCGATAGACAGCACATCACCTTGGATTTAAATCTATCCTTGGGAAAAAAATACAAATAAAGAAGTTTGAGGTGAAGACTCCAGAGAATGGAAAGCCCAGTTTCCTCCCAAGTGATCCTGTCCCCTTGGCCAGATTTTTCGACACTGCAAAAGTTTTAGTGCGGGATCCAGCTTTCAATGTCCCTGTCAAAGAACTTTTTTTTTTTTTTTGGCAGCAGTTGTCACATTTTTGAAAGCTGCTCACCAAAATGAACCCATTCAGAAACACTCCTGTGTTGTTGAAACTCTGCCTATATCAGCAAATACCCTCCACATCTCCCTCCCCAAAACTCATCTGCTTTCTTCAGTCTCTCATCTTCCTAGTAAAAACAGATAATGGGTGTACAGCAGATGGCCATTAAGTATTTTCAAAATATTTAAGGGAAGTGCGTATTTGTATCACAGACATTTTCATTTCCTACACAGACCCAGATAACCATGTCTGGAGCACAAAGCTTGATCTTCAATTTTAGTAAAGGAAAGCACGAAACCTCCTGCTTACTTTCCTTGATGTGCCAATTATGTTTCTAATAAAAATATTTTGATTTTAATAAACCAATAAAGAGAGGGTAGTCACTGAATATCTTTTGAGAGTAATGGGACAACCACGAGCAGAAAGACATGAAGATGAGCTCTAGTAAGCGAAAGATGATGGTTTTCAGTAAGGCACTCATGCTTTGTGTCAAGAAATGTTTCTGGCACTGACTTCCATCTGGGAGGGAGGGGAGCTTGCTGCTGAACTTGCCGGGAGCTGTCTGCAGGAGAGGGATCCAAATGTGCTGAAAATGCCAGCAGGCAGGCTGTGGGCTGCTGGCTAGTGGATACTGTGTGTGTGATGGTTGCTACTTATCCTACTTCAGGTCTTCAGTAACCGATTTGAGGGAGGAGGAAAATTGCACAGTAAAGACATATGTTCACAGCTGTACAAGGGGAAACAGGCCTTGGCAGACTGATATGGGAGAGCAGGCAGCAGCAGAGCCTGACAGGGGCACCGGTGACCCCTGGTACTATAAGACCCAGAGCAAAATCACAGCAAGAAAGCTATTAAAAATTATCCACCAGAGAGGTAAGAGTGACTTCTGCACCTTGCAACACAGCTCAGAGGATGCTACCAGACAGACTCCCAGGACTGACTGACGGATGAAGAACGATGGGCCGCCTGGCCTGAACACGAGGAGGAGACAGGGGTCATTAGTACCACACATTCCAGGGTGAGTGTGTCTCAAAAGAGTAACAATAGGGGATATGGCTGATGTGTCGGGATAACATGGCTGAGGCCAGGGCTGAAACCTCCCTCCGATAGATGATGTAGAGATCTGGTTCCAGAGGGGCTAGAAACGTTTCCTGCTCCTCAATCCCTGGGCTCGGCCTGCGCTTGCTGGCAGCGTGCGTGCGCGCGAGCACCTGCATTCGCACGCACCGAGCAGCGTTCGCAGACCAGGGCTGCGCCTCGCGCACAGCCCCGTGGGGACTAGGGCCATAAAAATAGGGAGAATATTAGAGTGGGACTGCAAGGAAAGCAAGGAACAGGTGTACGGATGCAGGGAGCTGCAGAGCCCAGGCGATTCCATGGTCATCTCCAAACCAGATTTGATTTATCTGGATTCTACAGTGAATTTAACTGGGACTTTATTGCTAGGCTTGGGGGAAGAGGAATGAAGCAGTCAGATGAAAGCAAGGAAGCTGTAAAAGACAAAATTGGCTAAGAGCAGACACTCTCCATCCTCATTACAAGCGTGATTGGATGGCATGCATAACCATTAGCCCCATGGTGCTAGTCTGTGTAATACTGGCACCAGGTAACAGCAGTGAGCTGCGATTAGGTGCACAGGGAAGATGTATACATACAAATGTACACACACAGCTTGAGCCCAGAGCGGGGGCACACTGAGGAGGAGGCCGTTTCAGAGCATTGGCTGAGCTGGACTATTACTGCAGCCAGGCTGAGCGGTATTGCAGAGGCTACTGCTTGCTGCTCCACAGCAAATCGCCTCTCCCCTGTGTGCAGCCATTCCCAAAAACTCTCCACAAGACAGGGGCTCTCCCATGCTCTCTGCACCAGCTGCACCGTTCCCTGGAAGAACAGGAAAAGCGGAACTATGCTGTTTACTCAGAGCTTCTCAAAGCAAGTGCTCTATGAAAGGAGTCAAAATAAGGCATGAAAACGAAAATGTACCAAATTCAGCTGTGTGCTTCATGCATCCCATCTTCACATCTCTTCCCCACTGGGTTGGTTCAGGTGCCTGCAGGACCAGCCTGGAGTTTTTTCCCTCCTTCCCTCATGTGGAAGGTCTGTGCATTACTGGCAGGAATGGGCAGCCCTCAATGGGACACTCAGCGCAGATGCTGGCTATGATAAATCCAGTTAAGAATAAATTAAGTAGCTTTTCCAGGAATCAATCACAATTTAACTGCCATGTCAAGCAAACACTGTGCATTGCTTCCTGGGCTCATTAGCAGGTTCTGGTTGGATCACATGTTCCCAGACTCTCAAGAGAGATGGCCCATCCAGGCCAAGGACTTTCCCGAAGTATTTCGTTTTCTCTGGGCGAACATTGAGGGATGTCAGCATTCCCACTGCTGGCCCCACTGTGCCAGCACTAGCCAGGGTCCACGCTGAGCAGAAGTGCAGGACTCTCTGTGACCCCATGGCCAGTGCCCTTCACTGAGCCCTGTTCGAGAGCCCTCAGGAGTTGCTTTGGGTCTTCTGGACTGAGGCCCAAGCCCTGCCAGGCAGCCAGGGAGGCAACGTCTCTGCCTTTGGGCAGCAAAGTCTGTAATTCTGCCAGAGCGAAAACCAGCAGGCAAGGCTGGAAAAGCAAAGGCAAAGAATTACCAGAAGGAAAGCTGGCATTTGGAAGAAGAGAACACCAGGGAATTAAGGAAGGGCTTTGAAGGGTCTAGACCATGTAATTAGAAGGGGCAGATTGGGCCACCTTAGCCATAGAAATAGCATAACAGTGTTGGTAGTCATAATGAGCCATGATTTTCAAAGTCATGATCGCCTAAGGCTTAGGTACGGCTCAAGGCAAGACAAAATTGCTTTTATTAGACCAAAAGACATTGCTGCAAAAAAGTCATGCTCTTGTGAGCACCCAAGCAGTCTTAGTCTCTAAGCTGCTGCTCCTTTTTCAGACTCGTGGACAATGTGCCTGATTACAGAGCTGCTTTCCCCAGGAGTCTCAATTAGACTAACGAAGCCTTCACCCGTCCCTGCAAAGGCTGCCTTGCCGGGAGCGTGAGGCAGGAGGCCGGTGGGTGATGAAGCAGGGGGCTGGCACAGGGGGAGGGCAGCTCTCAGTGAGGGATGGAAGGGAGAGCGATGGAGCAGCGATCCAGGGAGCTGTGATCACCAGAGAAACCAAGGAGCACGGCACAGAGGGGAAATGGTAAGCAAGAGACAGAGTGGGGGGAAATCAAAGCAACTTCTGAGCCGGGCACGTAGCTGGGCTATAGCCCGCAGGATGGAGAAGAAAAGGATTGAGGAGTTCTGTGTAGCGGAAAGAGTCACTGAGGCCTTGGTTGGGAGAAGGAAGGTGCCACAAAGCCCATGGACATGGTTTAGAGGAAGGATGGCTGAGAGCATTCATGATGAAGAGCAGCTAATTCACAGC